CGATACTTAAAAATCTGCACATTCACACGGACATCAACTCAGCACTTTCCCTAATCAGTCTAGAAGGAACAAAGAAACGAGAGGCAAAAATAAACGAAGTTCCAAAAATGACCAGTGGGGGAGGAAGGGTTGAAATTTGCAAGAAAAAAATCCTAAGACCATAACTATTTCGAGCAGTGCCAACATCCGTTTGCTTATGGGAAAATAAAAAGAGTAGACATAAGAAAATGGACTAAGCAAAAGTTGTGGTAAGCAAACGTACGTTTTCGGTAACTCATCATCAGGCTTATACAATTACATAACAATCGAAGTTTGTTCATGGACCCAAGCGGTCGCCATTCAGTCGATTGATACTATCATCCAGCGGCAAGCAACGTCGGTCAGGTGACCGCTGTGGACTCAGCGCGTTCACCCGGTTCAACCACAGTCCGTCCAGGCCGAGGAAGATTTAATACCCGAGGGAGCCTTTTCTGGGTGCACAACTGTGATTCGTACGGCCGAAGTGCAATGGCTTCTGTGGCGTTTAATATCCGCTTACGGGCGTACTTTGATCGATTTTCGGAGGCTCGATAGATAATTAATTTTGAATGAATCAGCGGACTTGGTGGCGTGACCCACATCCGCAAGATGCGTGGCGCTGGCAGGGTTGATAATTTTGTGACTTACAGCTCCGAGCCATGCCGGATGGTGCTCCTATATCCTGTCAGATAAGGGTCTTGTCGTACGACCTATATATCCCACCCCAAAGAAACAGGAGAATGAGTAGATACACATTGATTTGGCGTGGACAGGCAGCTGATCCTTGGGATGCAGGTGAACTGGATCTGCGTCTTCGCCGCTGGGAAGACACGTCTGAGTGTGTGTGAAAGACGGCGGGATAGAACCTCCGCCGCGATTTCACCATTTTGTACGGTAACTGTAGGAAAACAGGCTTTCTTTCCACCGTCAGGACTGTTGGTGCCTCCCTCTTTCGCTTCATATTGGCTTTGATGAAACTTTCTGGATAGCCATTTCTGCTCAGCATCGAATGTATGCATTTTAGCTCGTCGAGAAGGGTATCCTTTGAGCAGATTCGTTCAGCTCGGTTCACAAGGCCACATATCAAGTTTTACTTCAGTTTAAGCAGCACTAAGCTATGAAACTTCGTGTACTGTCCACTCAATGTGTATTTTCGGTATACGCGACTTTGGATTACGCTATCAATGAGTCTTTTCAGGGCTTCATCGAGGAAGTGCCGTCGTCCTCTACTTCGCAGGTGAATTGTACCGCCCCATTAACCTGATAGAATTCGTTGGTGAGCTCCTCGGGAGTTCTAGAGGCGTGAAGTAGAATGAAGATATCATGTACGTAACGGTGGTATAGACAAAGGCTGCTGATGGTCGCTCCAACATACCCATGAAGACGTCGACAAGGAATGGTGTAAGTGGCGAATCCATTGCAACGCCATCGCGCTGCCGGTATATATCCCCGTTGAATAGAAACTGATTATTAAATGTGCACCTTTCAGGACCAGGATGGGTACGCCAATATTGAGGTGGTTCTCCTCAATGTAGTTGCAGATGAAATCTATCGTTTCGAATAGAGGCACATTTGTAAACCGCGATGTTACGTCGAGGGAGCACATGATTTGGTTCGTGACATCAGCATCTCGCACGGCATCGACAAACTCAAAACTGTTCTTTAGTGTGTATACAGCGACACGTCTACGAACAGGCTCAAGAAGCTCAACCAACCAACGAGCAATCGAGTGTTAGGGAGAGTTTCTAATGTCCAAAACAGGGCGGAGAGGACAGTTCGGTTTGTGTTTTGGGAAGACCGTAGAGCCTTGGAAGAGCTCAAAAGTGGAACAAACTATCGTAGTCCTCTCGATTTGGGGTAATTATGCTACAAGATACCTGGCTGCCCGATGACATGGAAGATGTGTTTGCGACACTTGATGGATGTATGGCGTATCGGGTTGACCATCCATGTACACACAAGAACCGCATGTGATGGCGTTATCACATGCATACACTCTTCGTGGTGTACATCGACCATCATTAGTGTTTAATAATGAAATGTAAGTCACGACACTTAAGCGGTTATGATTCGATTCTATTGGTCAACATTTACATTTCTATCAGCTGTGCTATAGCCGGTGATGAAAACCTTTATGACGATTTTACAAGTACCGCCATTGAAAGTCTAGATCTTACTTTATGCGTTTTAACCGGTGAGTCTAATCGATAGGACACTGCTTTCACCACGAACTTCGAACTGAACAACATTGTGAAGTCTCCTACCAGATTACAGGCAACCCTAGACTTAATGCTTGTCAACAAGTTAAAAAGCTTTCTGTCTACAATAACGTACCGCTTGGAAGCACAGGCCATGCCACCATAACATTGTCCCCCATTATCTATGATAAAACAAATAACAAGAATATCACGCGCTGCAAAGATCGCAAGTCAACGCAAACACAATGTCTTCATCACAACATCTGGCAACTACACGAAAATATTGCCTTCACAGACTACAAATTATTTTACACCGGATGTATCGATATATTTTGATCGTTTAACTATATATCTGAACATCTGCTTCAATATTTTCTGACCTCTGGACGCTATTTTCATATGCACAGACAGGTTCTCATCTCACTGCTCTAAAAGACTGCAGAGACTCCAAGGTAAAGCTTTCAAGGGCAAAGACCATGTTTCAGTGAAGCCAATGTAGAGTAAAATAAAAAATGAGATGTGCCGTCGTAAATATATAATTATGTCCAAACTATGCTTGGAAAGAATAATTGCCAAGAAATATGGAAATTGACGAAAAACCTGAGTGGAGTCGTCTGCAACGTCACACACAATGCTCGTGATGTGGAGGGTTTAACCCGCTACTTTTGTGGTTAGATAAATGATCCAGCCTCACACTTACCACTTTTACCGTCACAACTCTTCTCACAACTGTCACCGCACATAGATAGCGTAATGGTTCACAAGGAATTAATACAGATAGCCGTGCAAAGCGTCCGGTCCGGACGGACTATCTCCTACATTACTCCAACCGCGTACTAATGCCTTAGCACAGCCTTTTCGGAAATGTCCATCGTGCTAGAGAAAGACCAGTATCGCATCTGTATGGAATAAAGAAATTTGTATCGGCCAATTGCTTACACCTCGGTGGCTTTGGAAGATGCCTGAGCGAATATACTGGAGGGTCATTTCGAAGTACTTGTCGTGTGCTTGAATTGCGACGCGCAATCTCGATGTGGACTGTGATTCGCACTGAGGTGAACTTTGGTCAATTCAATCACTAGGGCCGCAGCTGAGCGCATGGAAATTGGTTGCCACCCGCTCGAAAACACTACACACCAAGCACACAACAAGTACTTCAAAATGACCTTCCAATCAGTAATTAATCGTTGTGCCAAGTGTTACCCGGCTTGAGCCGGTGGCTAAAGAGATAGAGGTCCCAACTAACATCCCAATCTTCTCGCATTCGAAGCCTGATGAGAACAAAAGAGGTCGAAAAGCGTAGTGGAGTATAGTGTTTTGGGGCGGGCAACACCCAATTTCCATATGTTTGGGCAAAGCATGCTAGAAGAAATATCTGCCCAAAGAAAATCAAGTGATCCTTTTCAGGTCGCCTACTCTAGTTCAAGCTTCCTGTTAGATACATTGGCCTGTGGTGGACACTCCGTGCCATCATCACCCTATGACAAACGAAATCCCACGTGTTTCTGCTTCCGAGATTGCAGCAATGTTTTCGGCCGTGTAAATCGTGTACTGCCGTTATACGATATGCTCGTTACCGGAGTTTAAGCTTCATTAGTATCCCTTCTTGAAGACTACTATGCCAAATGTACGCAGTTTACCAAGGTTGGGGGAAAAAGCTGTTCCTCATTCAGCACAAATGCCGGTGTTCTTCAGGGAGCTATTCTGTCATCATTTCTATTTTCCACTTAAACTAGCTCAAATCTCGTTCCCAAAGAAGCTATCTTGTTAAAGTAGGCTGATAACGTGATCCTTGATGTAAACGGTCACATCACAGATTCATCGGCCAAATTGTAATACTTCTTGGAAAACCTGTCGGCTTGGTCCAAATCCCGCTGTCTGTCACTGAACGCAACACAGTGTAAAGACGTTCTTTTCGCGCTGTGCAAGGAAAATCATTATCAGCTTATCTTCACGCACACCCCGCGTCTTTGTATTAACAGTGTTAGTCCGAACTCCTGCACGTCAGTGAAATACCTAGAAGTTACAATGAGTCGTGATCTTACGTAGTCCAATCACGCGAACGAAACGTTCACTAAGATCAAGTGACTAACGTTCTGTGTCCCGACATAGAACATCATCCGTGTCACTTTATGTGACCTTATGGTTTATCACCGCTTGCGTATTACCCCACTGGACGCATTGTTCACCTGTGATGTTTCCCAAACTTGTAAATGGGCGTTCGATCCGGTGGTCAAATTCCAAACTGCGCCGATTTCTCGATGGGTCTGAATTCTGCACTGAACACACTTTATCGCTTCCTGATGACTTGTTCGCAAAATCGATGGATCTTTTCGATGCATATTTGCAGATCGAGGTACATAAAGTCACACAAGAAATATTACCATTACTCACCCGGGCTCGTAACAATACCACCAACTGGTTATCCTTGAAAACCATCCATAATGCCCTAGCCAATTGTTCCGCTAACCAACGAGACTTTTGGGTTCCCACATCGACTGAATCGGGAGATAACTCAGTTGCTCTCAATAACAAAAGGCTCCGACAGCCAACAACACTCCATGTCCTTTCTACGGCTTCTAATTTGACGCAATTTCATGGGCCTGCAGGTAATGAAGCTGGTTAATTGGTAAAACTATCTGCGCTTTAACTACACATTTGAAGAAGTCGGAAATCTATCCGTGGTTTGTACGCTTTCGGCAAGGCAGTTGAAGCCACAAAGAAAAAGATGGCGTAAAGTAAATTTTTTGGTCATAAAACAATCATTTATTACCTGTTACTCACCGATTAGCAGTATAGAGTAAATGTGCCGCGCGTGGGTCAAGTTTCAGTTCACCAGAGTGATAGCGGTCGATTATCTTCCCCACACTAGTGGACTTATCGGGAAAGTGTATGAACAGCGTTTCTTTTCCAGTGATCTGTGTCAAAGCATCGGCAAGCAACCTAGACTGTGTTTTTTTGCCACATTTCTCAATTCCCTCAAAAACGATGAACACACCACGCTTCATCCTCCAAGTCGAAATATGGGTTCTCACAAATACCGTCGGGCTGAAACAGATAACAGGATTATCAGTGAAAGTAGAACGATTCATACAATAATTCAGACAAGATGCGAGAAGGAGAAATTGAGATACGAGCACGCGTATTGGTGGCAGAAGAAAAGAGCGACAGACATGACAGTATTAGAGTAGGTCATTGAACGTTTCGTGCCTTTCGATTTTGTGATAACATTCAGCGTGTGTAAATTTGGCTCGACCGAATCGAAGATAGAGTAAGTAAATGTCGGAAAGGAACAACCCGATAATCTCGTGTTTTTACTTCAGTGAGTCGTTCAGTAAAGAATGATTGAATTGTTCCGAAATTCAGTGCGCAGAGAAGGTCATCTGTACAGATGATGTGTGTCAAGTTCTAATAAGAATACAGGCGTCCACCTAACGAGCGTCCTGTTTCTGATACAGGCAACCGGACCAGAGCACTAGGCAATTCAATGTTTGATTGAATTACCTTGCTTTCCCAAAACAAATGAAAGAGGAATGAGAGCAAGCTATGAATTTTCATGCATGAACAACAGACCTCAATACACGAGGTCTCGCTGCTACATCTTGTGGAAAAAGAGCTGATCAACACCTATCTAGACCCTTTTGAAGGCTACTAGTCTCGTAGTCCATTAAATCGTAGGGAAGTTCATTCCAGCCATTTATGAACTGTGTCGACACAGCCTGTAAAACATTTCGCCTTGATATCCAGTCTATCGGTCCGCTGGTTGAGCTTCGGACGATGTCCGCACAAGTGATCCGATACAGCAAGCGCAAACAGATCGGTAGACTTAATAGTAATGGGGCTTTTCATTATCTTAAACGTCTCCGTCACATTCCCTCTCAATCTAAGTAGTTCCAAGGAAAACATCCCCAAGCTCCTTAAACGATCTTCACATGACTCCCACATCGATTTTCAATGATCCTGGTCGCCAGTTGTTGTATCTTTTCCGTACAAATAACGTTAGTACGGAGATATGGTGCCAAAGCCTGAACACAGTATTCCAGATATGGCTTAACCGATGCGTCTGGCTCTTGTGGTGAAACCACCATTGTCACGCTTGGTTGGCAGTATGGCGACACTGTGCAGCAGGCTTGAAAATGCTTAACATGGTGATGCCAACATAGCGTGACTGAGTACCAATGTGCAACACCAAGACCACCAGTGGACAAAAGCTGATATTTATTGCTAACCAGAGGTAAATCCCATTAGTTCGACCAATCTACCAGGTGGATGATATTTTTGGGAAGTGTTGCTTGATTGCCCCTTCTGACCAGCTTTACGTCATTTGCAAAGAAGTATCAGAAGAGGAGCCAGGTGGTTTAAAAATATAAGGAACGGTAGCGGACTCAGTACCGAGATATGGAGGACACTGATGTAAGCATCACCCATAAGAGAAGTAGCTTGCCGATTCAAAACGGTAAGAATTCTAACAGCCCAGAAAATAGTTTGGAATGCAATCCAAACCATGTTAACTTGTCAAGTAAGAAACGACGATTCACTGAATAAAAGCCTTAACAAAATCGAAATAGCACGCATCCACCGATTTCTCATTATCAAGACATCGAGTAAACTCTCATCTGAAAAACGATGTACTAATATGATACAAAATTCCTAACAACAGCCGGTCGGTGGCTGAAAGGACAAGGGGTCTGTCTTGCAATCCGGACGTCACCGTTTCGAGCATGCGTAGAGGATCAGGTAACCCTCGCAGTATCCTTGGCCCACGCCCACCTGGTGGCGGTTGTGTGTCAGCGAAGCGTTAGTACAGTCTCTTCCTAGCGAAACTATGCTGTTCCGCTTTAATCAGATTGCGTTCAATTAGGTGATCACAAATCCCGTTTCTGAAAAGCTTCTGTGCAACTGAACAGGACGCACCTGAAACTGACAAGCCTAAAGTTAAGAGTCACCCAGCTAGAGCAATCCTTGTGGATCACAATTACGGTCCTCTCCCTTCGATCTTCTGGAAATTTGCCTTCCTGAAGAGGCAAGTTGAATAATTCCGTGACAGGATGCTGAAGAATATATGCTAGTGGTTTGACAACTGCTAGGTGTACATTATCAGGACCAGCTGATTTAAAGGGGTCCAATTTAAACACTACTGCGAAGAGCCCTGGTATAGGTAGAACAATGCCTTGCAGTTTACAGCTGCGTGTGCAGTGTGACTGCAATGGTACAGCTCACTCAATATCTTTACGATTCAGATGTTGGAAGATGCGTAACATCACTTCCACTTTATCACCGTTTCCCACAGTCTGACTGTCATCTTACATGGTTAGACAACCGACCGCTCCTCATAGGGAAGTCAATCCTTGGACACAACTGTAACTGGACCAAACAAACCCGTTGTAATTTGAAAGTTGTATTCCGGTATATTTTGGCCTGCAGCTAAAGCCGAAAACCCTGGGATTCGCGGAACCTTTAGCAATTAACATTACACATTTTCATCGCTCTATTGATCGTCTTCCTCCATAATGGAGACTTACTGAAATATCGCTCAACACGAAGAGGAAAAATACATTCACAAGCTACACACACAACGAAGTAAAAGCAAATGCTACTTCCCTTCCAAAAATGTCTGTTCCTGGTCAAGAATCAAGGTGATTTGAAGAGCCCTAACACGTAACTGCATATAATCAACCCAAACTTAAAGTTGTCATGAATCGAGAATTCCCTGTAAAACTGTTGTGTGTAGTAAGAATGTATGAATGCAATGATTAGCCTTACTCTTTGGTGCCTCCACGTGCAGTTCTGTCAAGCGACTATGTTTAGTGATCAAGACATGCAGCGTTGAGTGGGCACTCCCGATATTTCCGTTCGGAGCACTGGCGTAATTTTCAAGTAAATTTTGCACATCCAGTTTACCGGTTCCTGCGTCCCTCCATAGCTAGCCAGCGACGGACCCAGGTAGATCACACTGCCATTAAAAGTAGCGTGGTTCCATACTGGACTGTCGTTCTTTCTGGAATACCTAGGTCGACTCTGAGCATGCTTTGGTACTATGTCGTTTTTCCATGAACTTAGCCGGGTGGCGTGTCAAGTGCGTCTCTCCATTGGCAACTAAGATATTGTCTGAATCCTCAGTCAGACAAACCTACCGGGATGTCCTGCATACCGAACTTTCGTTTTCTCGTCCTAGTGACACTGAGCTTCAATGGAATAGGGTCTCGGCCGCCATGCATGGCGCGGGGGCCTCTGTTTGCGGCATCATCAATCGGCACCGCACCAATTATTGGAGGTCGGTAAACATGTTGGAATGCAGAAGAAAACTCCAGGCTGGCTCTGAGCACGATATAGCTAGACAGACTATTAGGCGCGAACTGAAGCGGAGCCTGCGTGTTGACAAGGAAGTCTGGTGGGCTAGTAGAACCCAAGAAATACAGAAAGCGGGAGTAGGCATTTATCGCAAGCTCATTTAACTGATCAATACCATCGGTTACAGGAACCCCGATTCATAATGATAAGCGCCTGATGACTTGTTGAGCGGTGAAGTTTCGACAGAAGCTCAGTTGACCCCCTTCTCTTAGACCCGTCCTTACTCAGGTGGTCCAGGCTGAGCCATAGTCGGTTAGTTTAGAGATTCCATGGGAAGCTGTGTCTGAAACGCAATCACAGCTTTTAATCGTTTTCGTGCTGTTGGCCCGGGTTCCCTCGCACCCCCAGTATTTAAACATTGTGATAACGTCCTCTGTAGGGTCGCCCAAGCCCAGACAGGAGAAGGATTAAGATTCGCAACCAAAGTCTTTGGTTCAAAAACCTGACCACAAGACAGCGCGTTTGACAGTAGGCTACAAGGAGCCCGTCTTAAGGAGTAAAAAGCAACCGTCACTCCAATCCCGAACTGGAAGCCGAGTTTGTCGGGCCTCTAAGCATTGACTAATCTCATATGAGTGACTTTGAAGATGGGAAAAGCACCACCCAGCACAGCTCAATGGATTGCTGAGGCACGCAAACCATCGCACCCATCCTCACTGCGTTGGCACGATGGCTGAGGTGTTTTCCACCTCTAGCTAAAGTGGATAATGATGATGGCACTTCCGTGCTCACTGAGTCAAAAAGCGGTGCTACTAAGAAACAGCCGGTTCTCGACACACAGCTGTAACAGACGCTCGCCGTTGTCCGACAGATCGGAATTAAGTACCTCCTTACCACCTAGCTAAGGTTCTGAAGAGCTCAGACGACCCGCTTGCGAGTTCATATCGCCTGCAACAACAATGGTATCTGTACTGGTAACACTGTGTAGTAGCGTGTTCAGATCGTGGTAGAAGACGCCCTTGGCAACAGCAGAGCTGCAGTCTGTGGGGGTATAAGCGGAGACCACAGACAGTGTCTTGTGCTACTCCGTGAATCAACCTTGGTTGACGTCATCAAGAGAATCCAATCAACCAACGATGATTCAGCCACGGAACTGGGAACGATGTCCAACGCAGCTGGACCAGTGGTTGCCGCAACAGGGTCTCCGAGTGCGTGCAACCAATAGCTGGGGGAAAAATCGGGCGCAGCGTATTCAACCAGTCAGTCATTGATTCTATTTTCGGACACACAACACACATAAAGGGAAATGCGTATTTCAAATACCCTGGGTGTCCAACGTGCATGCGAGTGTCAGCAGCTTTCCGCCCAGGACAGGCCCGTACAGACCATATATTCACACTGCGGCAGGTGCTATAGCAGCGTCACACGTACCGCAGATGGACAATCACTGTGTTCTTTAACTTCAAGAGTGCGTTCGACAGTTCGGTTGAACAACTATGATCCGAGCACCGAAGTGCGGTGGATCCAGTTGCCACGACTCACATCGCAAGAATAACAACAAATAACAATGGCAAGGTGGTGGGGTTGAATGCACATATAAGGTAATAGTAGTAGTGGTGCTAGCAACGGTCTAACGAATATATATGGAGCCATACAAAAAACCATGGAAATCACAGGTGTAATCACATCATCAAGTTGGCACATCAGTTGGAGGTGGGCAACACACTTCAGCTACTGCGCTGCGAGGAGAACGAAACTTATTATCATTTTTCCCCACATGCCATTTTTACGTGCTTTTTTGTCTTGTTCAATTGTTCAACATTAGGCAACTGAGCATACACACAGAACTTCCACTGGTTTTGATTGCATGCCATATCCTGAATTGTTTCCAGCCATCGGCACTCCTCCTCTTCTAGTCCCCAACCAGGAAGACGTGGCTCCAACGGCAGCAAGACGTGAAGTTAATGATTTCGTATGCTGCCGCCAAGTGGACGGCTGACCGCCACGTGGTCTCTGCTAGCCAGGTCCTACAAGCGCGAAATAAGCTCAATGGGGCAAAGGCTCAGTTGACATACGCAGGACGTGACCGAGTCATCTTAACTGACGCAGCAAAAGCAGCTTGTTGAAGGGAATACTCGCATCCCTTAAGACACGACGTCACACTTCGCTGTTGCAGATATTTGCCTTCCACCACATATGAGCAATCCTCCCCAAGCGCCCATTGTCGAAGGTCGACAGCCGGTGCATGTCAGCTATGTGAAATGGCTACGACCCACCTCCATATAGCAACACGACCCGAACGGTGGCAATGTGCACGCGACCCTTTACCAATAGGGAGACATCACGGCGATGTCACACGTGCTGCAGATTGACGAACGCTGACCGAGCTTTAGCGATGTGAAGAGAAACTTCCTTCTCAATAGAACTACAGCTGTTCAGGCAGACAAAGCTATCAACGGGTCCAAGCTGTGTACCTTCAAGAGTGAGTACGGGAACGGGCGAATGCCAATCCTGGAGCAGAACTTTATACTTCGATGGGGCGAAGCACAGACCGAAGTTAGATGCCTCAATCGCCAAACGGTTTAGAACAATTCGCATGCTATATGAGACGTCACCAATCAAGGCGATGTCATCGGGATAATCTAAGTCAGTCGCTCGCTTGCCCGGCAGAAGTTGCAGTGCAAAATTTTGATAACCGTCCAAAGCTCTCGACAGGACGCCTTCAATTGTAAATTGAAGAGAAAAGGGGACATATGACAGCCCTGTCGTACAGAGCTACTGACAGCGAATGGCGACCAAGCTTATCATAGACCCTCACTACCATAGATGAATGAGATACCCTTTTTCTTTATTAATTCCTATAAACTAACTATAACAAATATTCAAATAATCCATACACCTCTTTTTCCTATACAACCTAATCTAATTCATAACTTATTTATTACACCATCACCCTCATTACTTCCAATACTCCTATTCTTATACCTCTTAAAGATTCCACACTATCTTCAAATAACCCACTCAACCCATTCCATTAATACACCATCATACCAACTAACCATCTCAACCCCTCCATCTTTCCTACCCTTCTTTTCCTTTCATCCACACCCTCAATTTCCACCCCCCCGTCCATATCCCACACCCCTTATAACTTATCACTTCAATTCTCTCACCAACAAACAAATATTTAACACCAATAAATTCCCATTACTTACTCCCAAAAAACCAACCCACCTCAATATCAACCACATATTACATTAACTTTTAATCACACCCAACCTAACTACCACCTTAACAACACCCTTCCCCCCAAAAATACCCCCCCCCCCCCCCCCCCCCCCCCCCCCCCCCCCCCCCCCCCCCCCCCCCCCCCCCCCCCCCCCCCCCCCCCCCCCCCCCCCCCCCCCCCCCCCCCCCCCCCCCCCCCCCCCCCCCATATTATAATATAACCACCTCCCCCCCCCCCCCCCCCCCCCCCCCCCCCCCCCCCCCCCCCCCCCCCCCCCCCCCCTTATCCCCTTGGGAAAACTCACAGCCTAGTAGTTCACCGCTGAGGTTATAAAATTATGCCACTGAAATCCGCGAGCAACAGTTGGTACAGCGGAAAGGAATTCAGAGTTGGACTTGGAGAACCCGCTGCGTCGTTGGGTTGCGACATACAATCTCTATTGAGACCTCGGTTCCACCACAGCTCATGCTATTTCCACTTGATGAGCCCGAAGCAGGACGAAAACGCGGTCGTGGTGTGCCAGTGTCGGGAGGAGCAACACCGAAATATTTCCATTTCAGATATGGGTCCTTGCGACCGGAATGACCGAGGTCCTCCTCAAGTGAACTGAGGTCTCAATAGAGGTTGCGTGCGCAACCCAACCACGCAGCGGGTTCTCCAAGTCCAACTTTGAACAAGGTGGTTAACTGGCTGATGATAACCGAGCCTCCATACTTGAACAGCTCCGGAGGAAGTCCATCTGAGTCGGCAGCCTGAAATCGTCTCAGGTGTCGAACCGCAAGACAAACTTCAGCTACACTGAGCGGATCAACTTTGATGACCCAGGGCGAGCGGCTTGGTTCGCAGGAGACAAAAGTGGGCGGTGAGGGCCAATTGAACTAGGAATGAAAATGTTCGGCCCATCGATCCAAACGTCGCTGTAAGTTGACAATCGGCTAACCATCCGCTTCGAATATAGTCTTACTGACACCTGGCTTTCTGTGTTCAATGGATCGAATGAGCTGAAAGAATTAGCGAGTATTGCCCGATAGGGCAGCGACCTCCATTTACGAAGCGTGCTTAGACCACCATCATCATCAACAGCAGTACATCAGCCATTTGAACTGATGCTTCGCTGCCATACGACCATGAGGATCTATGAAATAAAGAATAAGAAGAGGGTGAGAAGGGGGACTTACCTGAAAACCTTAATGCCCTAAGCAAACATTCAGGGTCAAGGCGCCTACACCTTGTGTCAACAACATACCGTCACAAACAGCTGGCTATCGTGCAAAGATAAGGCGGCATCAGCGAGACAGCTTCCTTGCGGCTTTCACTGCCACGCGTCATAATCAGCCATTACCCCGCAGATAACTCAGCACCAAACAAACTTTAAAGAGACAATCCGATTAGGAGACGGCAGCAGACGCGCCACTGGTGTCGGTTGCGAGCCATGTCCTGTAAAGTCTCGAGCCAAGCACAAGGTGAGTCACGTGGACTCCAACCCGGAAGGCGAGACGGACCAACGGCACCCAGTTTGGTCGTCAGTGACTTCATTTCCCGCTGCCAAGTCAACTTCTGTCCACCTCGAGCCTTGCACCATCCTACACCTGGTAGGCTGAACAAGGCCCTCCTAGGTAAGCGGTGACCAGGCATGCGTAGCACGTGCCCGAGCCAACGTAACTTATTCAGTGCTATCTGTTGTTCTAGGGAGCTAGCATGATTATCACCACCTAGTACTCGCCTACGCACATCATCGTTGCGGACACGCTGGTGCCATCCGACACCAGCAATGCTTCGCAAACAACGATGATCAAAGACTTGAAGGCGCCTCAGATCTTCAGACCGAAGGGGCCAAGTTTCATTACCATAGAGCAGAACGGCCCTCACTGTGGCCTTGTATACACGGTCTTTCAGACGAAGGGAAACTCCCTTCTGTCGCCAAAGATGACGCAGGTTCAAGAAGGCAGCTCTGGCCTTTGCAATGCGTGAGCTCACGTCAGTTTCTATGCGCCCATCATTGCTGATGCAGCTGCCAAGATAAGTGAATTTGTCACGAAGGCGAAACAGCTAACTACGATGGTGCACACTAGCGGGGCGAGATCGGCCAGATCACGTGAGCGGCTGGCAGACTGGTTGTCATGGTCAAACCGGAAGCTGACGAAATCAGACCGTCATCGCCGCACGGGTTGCTATGTCGCGGACGTGGTCCTACCTACAGTCAGACAGTGATGGCGGTTGCCAGAGTCGAATCTGTTCAGACAAGAGATGTGACTCACCTCAGTGATAGAGGCGAGGTAAGCGTATGTGACCTATAAAAGTAGCCATGTTTTGTGCCTAATATACTTCGGTCTAGCAGGCTCAGCGTTTTGTTTTCCCCGGCTGGTTGGGAGCGCAGAAAGGCAGGGGCAAAAGGGCAGCGTTACAACAGAATTGATCAACCACCTCGAGTTCCTCGTTAGCAAGCGTCAAGTGGTCATCAAGTGGCTGGTGGTCCTGCAGCAACACTTTGCACTTCGAAGGTGCGAAGTGCATACCAAATAATGGGACCACTCTGGATAGGCTATTCAGGTTGATTGTGCCGCAGCAAAATCGTCAAAAAGCAAGACGATATCGTCCGCATAAGCTAGGTCAACTAACCTTTCACCAGGCAGCACTTCAACACCTACATCGTGAGATTCCGCAAGGGAACACTCCATGATAGAATCCACGACGAAATTGAAAACGGGGAAATCGGACAAACCTGACGAACGCCACTTGTAATCGAAAAGCTATCCGATAGGGCACAATAGACCCTGACGCGGCCTCTAGTGTTCGAGTATAGAGCACGAAGGATGTTCACATATTTCGTGGGAACACCTTTTCGCGCAAGTATTTCGAACAGAATCAATCGATCGAGTGAATCGAACGCACTCTTGAAATCGAGGAACACAGCTATTGTCGGTCTGCGGTATGCGTGGCGCTGCTCTAGCACCTGCCGCAAAGTGAATATATGGTCTATACAGCCACGCCCTGAGCGGAAACCGGCCTGCTCTTCCCTAATCCGAGATTCCCGTTCCGCAGTGAAGCGAAGAACGATAATCGAGGCCAATAATTTTGTCACAACTGGCGTTAGGCTAATACCCCTGTGGTTCGCACAGTCTGTGCGACTGCCCTTCTTGTATATTGCCACTATAATCGATTCGCTCCAATTAGCCGGCACACTCTCTTCGACCACCAGGCTTCCCAATCACTACGTAGGCTTCGTTTGAGCTGCCGACTGACAGAACGTTGCACTTCACTATGGCTGTACTCCGCTAGGATATTCCTGCGGTCATCAAATAGATCCAAGGAGCGCGTGGAAATCCACACCTTCGTAGGGTGTTGAGTAAGACCACAGACTAACTGCCCAGAAGAGAACATGGCGCTCTGCATGAACGTCCAGTGTTCATCAAGGTCTTGCGGGAGGTCACAGCTGTGTATCGGCCAGGGAAGCTTGATAGCGCTGCTAAACCGAGAGAGTAGATAGTTTATTTGTATCCATCTTACACTGCTTCGTTTTTGGGACCCTCCGAAACTCATGCAGATATTCTCACAAACAAGTGCATGGTCTGATTCAAGAAATGTGGACCAGATCGATCTGCAATCTTAGACACTACCACGCTATCTGAAACCGATTGCGATATGATTAATCTGAGACCAAGATTGGGACGCAGAAAGGGGTCGCCAAGTAGCGGAACGTCTCCGCGAATGCCGAAAGCTGGTGCTCGACAGAAATAAATGATTGTCTTCGCACAATGTGAGAAGTCTCTCCCCATATTCCGATCGGCTTTCATCGAGCGCATGGTGACCACCGAGACGATCTTCGCTTGACAATAGACGACCGACCCGTTTATTGAGATCTTCAACAAGGACAACAATATTGAATTTGCAAGCTCTGCCCAAGAGCTGGTGAGGTTCATGGTATGAATCGTCCTTGACTGAATGGGGACTGCAATCAGTGGGAGGGTAAGCCGAAAGCACAAACAAGTCGCGTCTCTCTTCACGATATCTGCTGAATCTGTGTGATCCCCGAAGCCGAACTGCACATAGTCGGCACTTATTCGGAAACCAGCCCAACAGTGCGGCTTCGACTTGGCTGCTTAGCGCTACACAAGCATCAGCCAAGACCGCCGCAGCAGCCATTGTGTCGCCAGATAGACGTAGGTGAAAGATGGCTCCGCGATCGGCGGGAGATCTCAACTCAAGCACAGTACACGAGTCTTGCAAGTATGTTTCGGAAGGACAGCTAACATCGATGGCAAGGGATTCCAAGGTGTGCGCAAGACCAGCCTGCTGCCCGATCTGCATGAGTGTACGTACATTGAAGCATGTCAAGCGGAACGAGGATGAAGAATGGCTACTGGACGAACTCTGTTGGTGTTGACGAAACCATCGGGAGTGAAATCATGGAAACAGGAATCAGCTGGTAAGGGATAAGATTGATTGGTAACAAGTGAACGGGTGGCGTGTGAATAAGGTGTGCAGGTAGCAGAAGTTAAGGCAGCTGAGCGCGATATATAACCAATCTATAGTTTTGTCAGTGGGCGTGATACTATCCGGTTGCCCAAGCCGAAGTAGAGAGTTGTCTTAGGGGACACCACTCAGAGCATTTGGCTAAATAGCCTACACGCAAGGCAGTGGAGCGAATTCAGGGAATCGAGCTCATTGGGAGTCGCTGACTGAATGTTCAGTTCATACGTTTGGTAGGTTATCAAACGGAGGCCGAATCCACCCATGAAATCAGCACAATTGCTGGAGTACAATGTTCTACCAAAATGGAACACTGCAGCCGAACATTTCGCTGGAACGGGGTACATCAGAACCACCCAGCTGGCACCACGAGGAGGTAGTTCGGCAAGCCAGCCAGAGGCAAGCTATTTGGAGTCGATGGAGATCAGACCAACCCGTCTACGACGGCTGTATTTCAAATGTAAGTCCCAGCTAAAATTGGAGACGCCATCCGTTTAAGACAGTTTCTTGCTCCCACAGCTTCAATAACATATCGTGTAAATAATACACGAGAACAAGTTCCCCAAATCTGAAAAGGGTTAAAGGAAGCTCATTTTGTTCGATCTGACATTCGACGTCTGCGCGACAGGGCGGATTCGAAGGGACAGCGGAAGGAGCATGGCGCTTGTGTACCGGCAGAGAATCTAGTAGTTTCGACAGATTAAACTGTTTTTCGAAGTGATCAACCAATCTCGTCGACTATAGTACCATTAACATCAAGTCTCCCGTTATCTCTTTCGGGTACCAATCGGAATAACCTCTGACGGCTGCAAAAGGCAGCCACCGTTTCCAACTCCGATACGCGGAGAGATAAACAGGCTTCCGTTCTCTTCAGAATGGCACGCATTTTGCAATGAGATCGTTGAGAGCCTTGTTGTGCCTGATTCCAACCGGAATGTGTTAGCGAGCACCCAGAAGTTCCAGGGACTGCGTAGAGACCGAATGCCAAGGTAGACAACTAGATTTACCACATGAAAACATATCTGCTGCTAATAAAGTCCGGTGAATATGCGGCCAGTGATCATCAGCCACGTTCAGTGAGCGCTTACTCTTTCCGATCAACAAGTCGTGTTCATCAACACCTACCCAGAGCATGAGAGGGTCTAAGCAGTCTGAGACAAATGGGGACGTTTAGGACATTTTTCATGAATTTAGTACGGCTTTCACGGACACCCTTAGATGTTGCTCGAAAGTAAAAGCGATGTTTCACTTGTATCCGTGTCAAACCAATTTTCAGGTCAAAGAGACCAATAGTTGAACGGTGAACTTAAACACCTATGAAAAGTCGGAGTTTTGAGGTCGTGACATTTTCACTGAACATCGCTTATGCTATCACAATGGATATATAAGTTTTCTTGGAATAATTCAACAGTGACCTTTGTCAAACTATCTCCAAAGTCACCATTGCCGTCCTTCGCTTACTTTTCGAGAAAACCCCAAGATACTGCACACCTTAGGATGGTGTGGCGAAATCTCTCCATCATAATTCCAGTTGTAATGACCTTATATGGAATAGGATATCATAAACATATCTGGTAACTCTTAATCACTTATTAACAATCTCTTAGCATCGCCTTTTATTTCTTGGTAATTTGCTTGCACACCGGCTTGGGAGTTGGGTTGTCACCGATACACGCTTGTGACGTGCACTTCTCATTCACACTGAGTTCGATTCCGACCCAATGGGTTTTACTATTCGTTGTGCGACAACCGTTGGAATCTTGTAGTTCTTCATCTCTGCATATTGGATATACTTCGGTTCTTAGTAGGACCAGTGCACGCTACAATGGAAAGGTCTAATTGTTGGAGGGGCGGGAATGGGGTTTGGCGGCCAATGTCCATGGTGACATCAAGGAACGAATGAACGAGATGTGACTTGCATGTTAATACGAAAGATAACCAAATATGTCCCGAGCTTAATGTAAATTCCAAACAGTGCTCAACATGGGAGAAATACATACATTTGCTATTCAACTGCGATTGGTTTCTTTTGAATACAGTATTCAGTGTATATTTATTTCATCTTCAATCGTGTGATGGCCTGCATTTTGGCTGTCATACCCAAACACACCGTCCCATAAGGGCTACTTTCCCTCCAACAATTAGCCACGCCCCATGAAGATGGGTCGATATGATTGAAAATCTAGTTTGCAGCGCAGGCCAATCAAGATAATGCGGCTTCTGATCATTCTGTCCGGAAATGTTTTATTGTTGCTCGTTTACGCTGACCGTTTATTCAAGTTGTGATGCACTACTTATGAATAGTATGGATATCAAAGAGAGCGCACAGGAGAAAGAGGTAAATCATGGGACGCCGGCAGACGATGTGGTGGAAAATCAACCGGACGACGTACACAAGGCAATCTAAACAGATGCTCGGTGAATGAAAGGTTGCAACGGTGCATCGCTCCGGAAAGGTGCTGCGTAAATGGGACTCGCGTTCTTTTGTTCGAGTTATTATGTTAACCAGACATGCGTTCTAAACATTTGGTGCCGTGATCAACTGCAAGGGAAACGATTCCGTGGCCGGAGCCCTTTGAAAATGTCCATGTACGGAAGTTTTGGAGCACTTCGAGGGTGTTGAAGTGGCAGTCGGGGTGAAGCAGGACCGGGCGAAGTTGGCTGCCCTGCGGAGCCTCCTCAAGGGCAGGGCGAAGGCTATTCTGGATGCGGCGCGAAGGGGCCCTGTCAAGTTGGAATGGGCCGCCGCGAAGGAGACACTGGTTACGGGGTTCGACACCCCGGCCGACCGCCAAGACGCGATGCGGCATTTCAAGGCGGCCCGGCTTGGGGCAGGAGCGGACCCGTTTGACTTCGCGGTCCACATCAGTGAATTGCTGGCTCGGGCGCTGCCTAACTTGGATGACGAGTCAAGACAACAACTGTAGGTGAAACAGTTTTTGGATGGTCTCCCTCCGGCGGTAGCCGATCGTTTCCGGATTGTAAACGCCACCCAGAGAACTGGCCTGATGGAGCTTGCCAAAGTAGCGAGTGAGCTTACACGAAGCAGTTGCTGCTTTGACAACGGAAGACAAAGCAAAGGAGGAGCGATTGAACGAGTTAGAAGAGAATGGAACAGATTACGCAAGACATCGGGGCACTTCGAGTCCCCTCACAGAAGATACGGCTGAAGGGACGCTGCTGCATTTGTGGGAAATGGGACACTGAAAGCGCCAATGTCCGTCAAATCGCAGTACAGCGTTTGTACGAAATAAGTTACCAATCGTACTGTTCGCTTGTTGGGGAGTGCATCCTTGCGGCGTTGAATAAAGGTGCGATTGAGGCGATGGTAGAGGTGAATGGGAAAGTGATGTCTCTGATTGATACAGGAGACGCAGTTTCCTTAATCAGTCACAGAGATCGGGTGAAAACTCAATCGCGTTCCATGGTTGTGAAGGTGGTCGGTGGTTACCATATACGCATAGATGGTATGGCGGAACATGTGGTTGGAGTTAGGGGTCGGAAGTTAAAACATCGTCGTGTCGCCGGACACAAAGCAAACTATCCTGGGTGCCGACTTTCTCCAAGTCAATGAAGCAATCGTCGAGCTGAAACGAGGAAAGTTGGTTACGAAATACGGAGCTATCCAGCTTGTTGGCAGAGAAGAAACCATGAGGGTGGGCTCGGCCGTGGCCGTTTTACACACAAGTCCAGCCCTTCAATCGCTTGTGAAAAAGTACGATATCCTATTTACGGACGATAGTAGTCCTCATGGGTTTTGTGACTAGGTCGAATACACAATTCCACTATCCCATCAGCCGTATCGGCCGCACGGACCCAGAAGAGTACCAATACACCTGGAAGCTGAGGTCAGAAGGCAGGTGCAGGAGATGCTGAATACAGGTGTAATAGAGGAGGGTCAAAGCCCATATAACTCGCCAATGGTTTGGGTGAAGAAAACCAAGGGGAAGTACCGTTTTTGCGTGTATTTCAGAAGGCTGAACGAAATATCGCTGAGTTAATTTGTCCCGGTGCCTTCAGTCGCAGACATTTTTGATAAACTGCAGAAGTCAAGGATATTTACGTCACTGGATCTGAGGTCTGGCTATTGGCAGCTGGCGATCAAACAAGAGGACTGAGAGAAGATAGCATTTACAGTCAGGGACAAACAGTACCAGTTTAAGAAGATGCCGTTTGGATTATCTGGTGCCTCTTTTACCTTCCGGAGTTTGATGCTGCAACTACTGGATGGATTAGAGAATGTGACCGTATACGGCGACATCTTTGTGTACAGTGAATCGGATAGAACACTACAGTCATCTAGAAGCAATGCTGCAAAAACGTAGCAGTCTGGATTACGGATAAATGGGCCGAAATCTCAAATCGGGAAGACGTCTGTGAAACTGCTTGGTCACAAGGTGGGTCAGGGTGAACTCAAGCCGCTGCCAGTGAAAGTATTGGCAATTCGAGGCACCCCAGTTTCGACCTCAAAGCGCAGTCTCCGGGCATTTTTGGGACGCCCTGGATATTACGGTAAATTTGTCAGGAATATTAACAGCTTGACGTCACCTTTGTATGAGCTGTTAGGCGAAGGAAAGAAGTTCACTTGGACACCAGAGGCTCAGCGAGCGTTTAATGACATACAGAAGATGGGCAGACAGGAACTGAGTTTAAAATTGCCGATCTCCGGGGAAACGTTCATTGTAGCCGCACACGCAAGCGACGTCGAAATCGGTGCGGTGCTGAAGCAGAAGCAAGGCACGGTGGAATACGCTAGTAGAGTTTTGACCCCATCAGAACGCAAGTATTCGATAGTGGAGAAGGAATGTCTTGCAACTGTGTGGGCTTTAGACAAGTGGCAACCGTATTTGTTGAGTTAACGGTTTCACAACGAAACCGATCGCAAACCATTGGAATGGATTAGGTCCTCCTGAGACCCCAGAGGCAAGTTGGCGCCATGGGCGCCGCGTCTAGAAGAATACGACTTTAGGATAAACCACATACCGGGGAAAAATAACGAGACAACAGATTTTCTACCACGCATGACGAACGATGAGGATTTGCCGAGTGTTGCCTTCGGTGTCGGTGATCTGGTGCTGGAGCAGGACCCGAGTAAGTTAGCGGCAGAATAACGGAAAGACAGACCTTTGAACAGAGTGATAACAGCAAGAATAACGAACCAAACTGCTGCAACCAAAAACCAGAGCCAGCGATTCGAGCCATCCGCACGGAGTCTGGAAAAGCTGCATGTCAACGAAGCCGGAATTCTGATATGGACACAAGGACGCGACGCTACGCCGGTGCCGGTGATCTCTCTCAAATTGAGGAAGAAGTTGGTTATTTCGTTTCATGTAATGACTCACACCAAGTGCACCAGGACATATGATTTGCTTAGACAGCGAGCTTACTGGCGGAACACGAGGAAAGAGGTTGATGCGTACGTGCTCTCGTGTCAGCTCCTGAAAGGAGACAATCAAGGGGCACCACAACGTAGGTTGTCCATTCCAGTGTCCGAAATCGGTGAGCTGTAGTCAAGCGACCTAATGGGACCGTTTCCGTTAACCAGACGAGTTACTCAGTACGTAGTCGTGATAACGGAGTACTTTACCCGATGAACTGAGGCGGCGGCGATTCCTGATCAACGCGCTGGCACGATAACACATGCCATGACGAAACACGTGATAGCGAGTCACGGGATTCCGAAAGTCATACTGACAGACCAGGGCCCATGCTTTGAAAGTGACGAATTTCGGACGTGTTTGGGGAAACTGGGCAACAAGAAGATACGGACCACTCCCTACCATCCTCAGATAAACGAATTAACAGATAGGAATAATAGAACGATTAAAGAATGGTTAGCGGCGGAAGGGGGAGATTGGGAAGAAGCCTTACCACTACTGTTGCTAGCGCACCGAGCGTCCAAGCAAGCAAGCACCAAGAGATCCCCAGTACAGTTAGTGCACGGGCGCAGATCACGACTTCCAGTAGATCTGAAGATAGGAGTTTGGCCGATTTGCCAGGTACCGCCAAGGGAAGCACGGAACGACTGAAAGTTAGCCAACCGAAATCTGAATGCAACTCAGAAGCGGAGGATGGAAAGCTCCCGAGTCAACATGAGAAAACAGTCCATGGATTTCCCAATCGGTTCGAAGGTG